AAGCAAAATTGCATGTTATAAGCTAGAATTTGAAATGACTGTTTTAATCTATTTACGGTTTGGATAAAAAACCGAGAAAAACCGCTTTATCAACAAAACAGCTTTAAGCAATTAAATATACAAAGAAAGTCCATAAAAATAGCAGAAATTTTCTTACAATGTAATGGAATATTTAGGGCACAGAACACAATCATATGTGTTTTTTTAAATGTTTTGTAAAATGCGCAAAATTGTACTTTCTAATTACACTTCATTCATACATTTTATAATGGTAAGCATTAATTTGATTTCAGTATGATAAATTAAGTGATTTTTAAATTTTCAAAAATATCGAAAATTTCATTTTATTTTTAGATTAAAGGGATCAAATAATTTACACAAGGGTAATAAACAGAGGTAAAAATTAACACTCATATTAAGTTACCTAGTTATTGGAAAATTTACAAATCAATTTAATGTGTTCTTTAAATTTTTTGAGACGTAATTTTTTTTTGTAATTGTCAAAATATATTTGTTTTTTTGATCTAGTTTTAAAGACCCTTTTTATTCTACTGATTTTTGAAAATTCTGAAATTGATAAATTAAAAACAACCCTCAACCCTACATCTCTAAGTTTTCATATTTGGCGTTGTGCATTGGTCGCGAAAAAAAGAATTTTATATGGTTTGGATTCCCAGAAACAATATTTTAATTGAAACCCACTCTCCTCAAATATGTTATCAAGTGAGAATTTTAAAATGTATTGAAAGATTTAGTGCTAGTGTAATTTATAATATTTTTATTTGTAAAATTTATATTCTTTTAATTAATAAAATGTATTACTTTTTTAAGGTAAATTAGAGATTTATATACGTCGAGTATAAACTTATTTTTAAAAATAATAAGCAAGCAGACTCTAGTTAAATATTTAACAATACTGAAATATTCTTATGTTAGTTAAAATATAACACATAACTTAAATTTGAGTCAATCAATTTAAATCGGAATAAAACAGCCGTTATGTAACTTCATTTTTGTCTCTTTTTATAAATTTATACTATTTATGATACTTAACATTTCACTAACAGTAACTCAGAAATAAAGAAATTTAGAGATTTACTGTACTGTATAATAATGACAATTTNTTCATCAAAGCCGCATCGGCTTTGCATCGGAACGCCGGATTTATATCCGGCGTTCAGTGGCAGACTACTAGTATTTCATATTGTTTTACAACACATGGCTTTAGCCCTCTGGTGGGAAAGACTTTGAAACAAAACTTACAACAGTTACTTTTCTCAACAACTGAAGTTTACAATAGTGTGATTAAGAAAAATATGTGAACTGTTTGCAATTTCAAATTAATATTGAAATGTACAGGTTTAAAATTTTCTACAGTGAAAAGTTTTCGGAACTTCAGTATTCAAAAAGTATACAAAAGCTAGACGTTAAGAACGTATCCAATGAGCGAGCAAAGCGAGCATTGGATTGCGAAGCAATCCGAAATGAACTGCGAAAGCAGTTCCGGGGGTTGGTGAGCGTTAGCGACCAGGAGGCGAAGCCTCCTAGTGTAATTTATAATATTTTAATTTGTAAAATTTATATTCCTTTAATTATTGAAATTTATTACTTTTTTAAGGTAAATTTGAGATTTATATCCGTCGAGTATAAACTTATTTTCAAAAATAATAAACAAACAAGGCTCTAGTTAAGTATTTAACAATACTGAAATATTCTTATGTTAGTTAAAATATAACACATAACTTAAATTTGAGTCAATCAATTTAAATCGGAATAAAACAGCCGTTATGTAACTTCATTTTTGTCTCTTTTTATAAATTTATACTATTTATGATACTTAACATTTCACTAACAGTAACTCAGAAATAAAGAAATTTAGAGATTTACTGTACTGTATAATAATGACAATTTTAGTAAAATAAAGCAATTTTTTAAAAAAAACATAATTTTGCTTGATAAAATCAAAACATAGGGCATTTAAACAATTTTTTCTGTTCATATGGTAATGGTTTATCGAAAGATCTGGTTTTAAAAATTATAGTTCTTATTAACTCACATATAATAAAAAATACAAAACTAAGAAAAATAAACTTAACCAAATAAATAGTTCTTATGCCATACTCTATGGTATCATGATAAAACTCTCAAGTCTTATCACATATCATGAAACCATACTTTATTATTAAATTTACCAATATAGTTTCCAAAGCTCTTCAGTAAAAATTATTGAGTTTTTTTTAGATAGAGGCAAAAACATGACAAGTTTTACCATTTTTTGGTAGTTATGACCATAGATATTTTCTCATTTTTGGTGTATGTATGTAATTTATGCAAGACCATAATTCTGAACTTATTCGGACTAAATTTAGTTCCAAACACGACGGACCTAAATATCTGCATTAAAACCCTGATCACTGGCTCTCGCATCCAAGAAAAACTTTTTCCTAGGATTTGATATATATTTCATAATATGAGCGATTTGATAGCTTTCAGCTCTAATAAAAAAAAACTATCATAAGTTTTTATGAATTATTTATCTTTGGCTTCCTAGATTAGGTTATCGCATGTAAAATCACTGTTAATAATTCTCAAGGTACGGTGATGACGTCACCGAATTCGGAATTTAAAAGGTGCATGAAACCAATATTTTTAATTCTTATACTTACTTAATTCTCTTACACTATACTTAGGCTTTTAAAACGCGTCTCTATAAACATTCGACTCAAAAGAACTAATATATTAAATTGAATTTATCCATTGGAAAATTGATACAAATTCTGAATATTATATGTCAATTCCTCTTTTATTTTATATTTTATTTCATAACTGTCGTTGAACAGCCTTCGTCGAGGACTTTTTGACGAAACTAACCCGCATTTGCGTTACATGGAGAAGAAGACCACGAGAACCTCACACGTCAAGCCTGATGGAAAGGGGATTCTATCCCATGATCCGTCTAACATTGAGGATATTTCAAGTCAGCACTGTGGTCAGTGCAAGCCGGATGCGGAATTCGTATCGACCAGCCATCGCCGGGATCGAACTCCGGTTCACCTCATTGGAAGGCGAAGGCTCTATCCCCTGAGCTATCGCGGCTCCCAATTCGTCTTTTGGTGAATTTTGGTTTATCTTTCGTTTGGTGAACTCCTAAATCGCAGAGTAATGAGGTAAATCTAATAGTATGAAGCAGCACAAAAAATTATAATAAATGCCAGAAATAAAGTTTTCGTATTAGAGGGTATGAATGTACATTATAAGGATATTATTAGAGTATTTATCCGTTTCGAAGGGTAGTAGATAAACCTACTACAACAGTGTCTATTCAGTATTAACACCGATGTTGGTACAATAGGTTCTCACTTCAGCGACACCTATAATACCGCATTTAATTAAGCTTCGCAGGCGTCAATAATAGTTAGGTAATTTTTTACAGCCTTCAAAATAAGTATACTGATTTTAGTTCATAAAAATAAATAAAAAAAGTATTAGTATCGTTACGAATTATTTTAGAGAATTACAAAGTAATTTTCGCAACATATACAATATGAAATTAAATATATTTTTAATTAAAAATCTAAATTAATGGAGAAAAGGTACTTATTTGTCGAAGAGATCCATAAAATATCGCCATATTATTATTGACGCTAATGTTAATTAATATTGGTAATAAGTACTACTGATAATTTGTTAATAAAAGTTTTATATAGTTACTAAACTCACTAATATTAGTACCAAAATACATATTATAGTCTGCATGGAAATAGGGTTTTTATGGCCCACCGAAAGGTGGTGGTTATAGGAAGTTGAGACTGAGCAATAGCAACAACAGCATGACCGCGAGCATAGTTAATTTTTATTTTGATCGATGAACTTTTAAAAGCATATTGGGTAACAAATAACAATAATTTTTTTTTAATTTACTTGTTTTAGCTTAATGGTGTCGGTATATATATCTTTCAGTATTTTAAATGATTTTATAGTGCTTATCAATACCGAGTAATTGATTATTTTCTTTCGTCACACCATACAAAAAACGGTTGTTGAATTAGTGAAATATAAAATGAAACACGTGCATTACATCGGTATTATTGAGTTTAGAAATACATACATGGATTCAGATCTTTAAATACGTTTAACGGAAAAACTAAAGAACTTCAAAATGACGTAAGTAATATTTTTAAATATAAGTTTTACGTTTTGCGTTTCTAGATTATGGTGCTGATTCGGATATAAATTATAAATAAATATTGAATTATTTCTAATATAATATCCCTGAGTTACATTGTCACAAATTTGCTTTACGGAAACACAATGACCACGAAAACATATAAAATCTATGCTATGTAAAAAAATAAAAATGTTTTCATGATAATAAAATTTATTTGAACCTTTTTAATCTCATATTTTTGAATATTGCTTATTTAAATTTTATACTTATTAAAAAACTTATTGATACCTTTCTTGCAAAAATTGTTCAGTCAAAATTTATTTGACTTAAATCTCCTCTAAAGTCACTATAGCATGAAAATTCACAAAGTTATAAAATCTCTTTTAAGTTCCTTTCATTTCTTAAGATCGAAAACTCCAAAAAAAAACTGTATTGAAATCAAACACTTTTTAGTCTAGCACAAGGAAAGAAATTTTTAAAATTTTTTTTTATTCTTGAACCATTAGAAACATAAGGAAATTGAACTTTTATCTACTAAAAAATCATTTTTAAGGTTAAGTAACTTTCCCAAAATCGTTTTTAATAATCTCAAGTATTCAATGTCAGTCTAAATTTCATATAGTAACACAATCAAACTTTCTCTTTCTCTTCATAGTTGCAAAATATTTTCAAACTCTTAAAAAGCGTAATAATTTTGTTTCATAACATGGGTAGAAATCGAAAATAATAATGAATTTCCCCAGTTACTGGAAATTCGATTGCTGAGGAATTTGTGCCAAAATCAAAAATTCTTACCGCGGGAATGCTTCAAAATACTCTTAATTGGTGACAATTAATTCATCGCGCGAGCTCTTCTTTCCTTTAATCTTTGAACCCCCGCAGATCTGTGGATTCTTATTTGGGGCAAAACTTTTCATATAAATATGAAATCGAGGCAAGATACGACAGTTACAGCTAATCTTCTCAGGCTAAGAAGCCTGTGAAGTACATAAACTTATATTATGGATTTCTCTTATGTAAGTATTGATTAATTTTATATCAATTTTATTAAATTTTAAAATTTAATTTCCAAATGAAAATTTGTAAGAATATCATATTTTGTCGAGTAAACATTTGTATCAAAAGTTTCAAAATTATTTTCTTCCGAATATTTTTAGCAAAATATGAATGTAGGAAATGTACGGTTATCGTATTTAGGCAATATACTTAAATATATTTTAAGCAATATACTAAAATAAATGCATAAATTCCAGTTAAAAAAATACTTTTAAAGTTATGTAAATGAATAAAAATGTTTGACGTGCACAGAAATAAATATAGTTCGGTAAATTTTTAATAAGCATATAAATCAAAAGTTAATTAGTATTTTTTTGTTAATTTTGAATATCAGTTTGGATCATGATTTAAATTATTCGGTTTTTTTATATAGATCAAGAATTTAAAACTTTTTTTATCTTTTATTTAGTTATTTGAAGCGTGTTTTATGTACATTTTATTTCTTCATTTTAATTTAATAACCTCTGATACAATTAAACTTACTGAAGTAATATGTAATGCATATTTCAGTAACACGATTATTCACTATAAATAGTTCAAAATAAGCATAAATTGTGATTTTAATAAGTATTCTATTCTTCAATAATTTTTTGTGTAAAAATTATTTAATTTAAATAATTTATTTTAAAACTTTTCCACTGTTAATATTTTTTGTAGCGTGTTTCATGTAGATTTTATTTCTTCAATTTCCTCTAAAAAATCATCTAACACAAATAAACTTACTAGATTAATATTTAATGTAAGTTTCGAAACTCGATTATTCCTTTAAATGTTTCAAAATAAGCATAAATTGTGATTTTAACATTAAGCAATTTTTTTATTTAACATTATGCTAAAATACAAAATATGAATTTAATGTTTATTTTATTCTCATTTTTGATTTTTCTGAAGCCATTAGCTACTTTAAATGTTTGTTTTTTTTTAAAATTTAAAATATATTATTTTACTTTGATTGAATTTAAATAATTTATGTATTGAAATTTAGCATTTATATTGTTTATATTACGCATAAACGAGGAAAATCAATACCAAATTTGATGTATCTTATCTCACTACTGAAATGGATAGTTTTAACTCCGTTTCTCCTTTGAAAATATTTTAACGATGATATTTGAAAACTTTAAAAAATTTAAAATAAAATTTTTAACTTAAGTATTTCTTTTCTACTGTTGTCAAACAGTAAAAAAATTTTAAAAAAGATTTTTGAAAATAAATTAGTAATTAGTCCAAACCTCAGCTGGAATGAAATATCTGACTTCTCTGAAACGTTTAGAGACACAAAAATCTTTTTATTGAATGTATATTAGTACCATCAGGAGATTTAATGTTTACAATTTTAATTTTGACCTAATTAATAAATTTTTAATTTCTAATACAGATTTTGTTTATGTTTACATTATTATGGGTTACATACTTTTTGTCACAAAAATTTAAGCCTTAATTTTATTAAATTTTTGTTTTGCAGACTTGTTTATTTTTCTCTCTACTATCTGTGATATTTTGGAATAGCATCTACATAAAAGCAGATAAAAACTATCCTAAGTACCCAAAAGTAAGTATGTTTCCATTTTCCCCATCAAATTAACATTTTTATTTGAAAAGAATAAATTGATTTTAAGCATTATTAAAAACCGAAATAAAAATTGTTAGTCTTTAACGAAAATTTAACAGCTTGTTTATTATTAATGCAATTTTTGAGGTAAAGTAGTACTTTTTTCAGTAGGGTAAGGTTAGCTAAATTGGATACATGTTAAAAAAATTATATTTTCATCTTTTAGGTTGAAATAATTTTAATATTTTTAGAGACATTTGCTGGGATTGCTGCAAGCATTTTTAATTTAGTTTTATAAACTGATAAAAAAATTTAAGATTTACAAACTATATGTTTATGCAGTTTAAGCTGTTGCGGAACTTTCTTCCAATATCATTAAAAACTGTTAATAATTTTAGTTTAAACAGGTAGAGGGACATCTAAATAATAGATCTACATAGAAATTTAAGAATAAATTTTAAAATTCTATTTATTATGAATTGTTTTCTGAAGTGGGAAAAAGTACGTATATTAGTAGGCTTAGCTATGTGTTGCATGAAAGAAATATTGTTTTATTTCTGCGTTATCTTCTGTTCTGTAAAAAGTATGCTCTGTCTGAAAGAAAGTCTGTTCCGTAGAAGGCATCTAATGCTCCTATTAAAAATTATTTATTCATTTGATTATTTTCATACATAGTAATTTTAACTCTGAAAACAAAATTTTTTTAAATTTAATTTTTAAAGAGAAGAATAACCAATATAACTAACATATTATACAATTAAAGAAATTACCAAAATAGTATAATTGTATAACTCAACTGGTGTATTTATAGATATAGACGACTTTTCAGGCAAGTTTTTGCATTCATATGACAGTTTTTTCGTGAAAAACAAAACTATTTCCATAAAGTAGCTAAATTCAAAATAATACATGTCTTATATAAATAGTAAAAACGCTTTAAGCTAACACTATAGATATTAATTTTTATACTTTCAAATAAACCAAAAGCTATTACACTTTTCTTACTTTCCGATGAAATTCTGTAAAACTCAGTAAAATATGCTGAATTCGAAGTGAAATCTAACATTTTGATAACCATAAACAGTAACTCCTTAATTTAATAATATGAAGAAAATATTTTTTTGCAATATATTATTTTAAATATAATAATGACACATTTGTTTAAGAGCATTTTCATTTCTAAAACAATATTTGGATATGTTTATTAGTGAATTATAGATTAATTTAAGAAGTGGGTATATCGAATCATGTTCTTTTGAATGCATTACGGTAAGAAAACAATCAAACAAAATAGATAAGTTATACCTCATATTTAATCTTCATGAATCCAATGTATGTAAAATGTTTCAAAACTTTCAGTAAAATAAATTTAATGGTCTGGTTTTAAAGCCTTTTTTAATAAAAAGCTTGATTTTATACCCACTTTACCCCATCGGTCCCTATTCTTAAAAAATGGCAGAATACATGACGATCAAGAATGCTTCATGTATAGATTTAAGACATATTTAATCAAATACTATAAATGAAATCGAAAAAATCCTTATAGCAATGTTTGTAGTATAAATATACGGCATTAGTGTTAAAAGCGATGAACTAGATCATTTATTTTCCTGGAATTTGAAAACGATAATAAATTACAAAACGATATGTGATCTAGTTGCGCCTTCGTTATTGTTGTATTTTTTAAGTGATCTAGTTACGCCACCGACGTTTTTTCAGTTTTGATATGTTCTTGAGTTTGATGTTTATTATTTGGTAAAACTGCTATGTTTAAGATTATTAAAAAGTTGATGAGTTTTTAAGCTAGTATTGGTAGTTTTTTCTAACAGAATTGTGTTTTAATTTATTCTAGTTCGTGGTTTAATATTTCAGTTGTGTTTTTAATCAGTTCTAGTTTGCGTTTTAACAATTAATAAAATATGTGTACTTAGATTTTAAGTTGAAGTGGTCAAATTCAATATTCGTAAAATCAATAATGTTAAGGTTTCAGTTAAGTCGAGCGAAAAAGTTGTAAAAAATATGTTGTTAAATTTTTAGCAAAATCACATGAAATAGGAAGTCCTTCAGTCCACGACTATGAAATATGTGGATGTAAAAAAAAAGTTTTATCTTAAAAATTGGAAAAAATGATTTTTTATATTCAACCAAATGGGAAAAAAATGCTAGATTCTATTCATTTCTAAATATAATTATAACAAAAATGTTCGTAAAAGTGCACAAACTTATAAATTATTTAAAAATAAAAAAACTAGATTTTGCTTTTTTTCTTTGTACATTTCTTTGTACTCCTTAAATGTTTGGAATTCTAGCAATTGTTAGCTTGAATCATAGTTTACAGAAGCAAGGAAAACCATTCTATGAATAAAAATTGATGTAATATACTATAACTAGATGTTACGAGACTCAATAACGACAAGTTTTCAAACCCTTTTATAACCTTTTGATTCCTAAAAATTATATACATGACTGATATTTACTTATTGTATAGATGAAATCTTAAATCTAATATCAATTTCAATTTAACTTAAAAAAACACTATTCAGCAAAAAAAAATCAGGAAGGCATTTTATTTAGTTTTAATGTAATGCTTTAATAAGTAAAATATGCTATTAGATTTTACTGAGATAATTTAAAAATTTAATTTATCGTCAGCAAAATTAAAATCTCATAATTGTATATTCCGTATCAATTTTGAAAACTTATTATATTACCATGAATTCTAGAACTATAAATTTATTTCTTATATAAAAATTTGCAATCATTGCACTTTGTTTCAAAAAATAATTGTATTTTCTCATTGTAACACGTATTGTTTTTGTAGATTTTTTGTTGAACTTGTTCATCAGATTAATAATATAAAATTAGAAATTAATTTTAAAAAAATTAATACAACTTAAATTAAATAGTTGAAATAAGAAAACAATAAGATATAAACAGTAAAAATATTATCTAATAAAAACGTTTACTATAAGATTACATTTATTTTAATAAGTATTACGAGCTTAAAGAAGTTTTAAGTCAATTTAGTTCCGACATCAAAAAATATTTATCAAGTAAACATTAGTATCATGTAATAATAACATTAAATATGTATGTTATCAAAATTATAGAATACTTTGTAAGATTTCTGTGTTGTAGATTGTTATATAACATACCACAATTTTCTGAAACTTAGCAAGGAATCATATACTTTTTAAAGCAGCAAAAACTTTCATTTTACAATATGAAAAATTTCTGTTTACTAAATAAAATTCACTAATTTCTTTACTTAATTCCTTGCAAAAAGTTCTAAGCCTTTCTCAATGATTTGCAAAAGCAGTTAAACTTGCAATATAAATGTTTTAATACAATTTGATTTAATTAAACAGTGTCATTTAGATTTCGTCATATTTTTTCTCATAAAAGATAACTCACTTTAACTGGCAATAACTGTTTATTGCACTTATAAATCATTTTTAGATTGCGATTTACAAGATAAATGTAGACAATTAAGAATTAATTAGTAGAATGTATTTTTTTAGGTGAGGGCATTTATTAGCCTTTTTTGCATATCTTTCGATTAATCAGTAACGACTAAAAAATTGAGAATGAAAATTTATTTCAGGAAATAAAAAATACAGGAAAATTTTTTTGTATTATTCGAAATAAAAATTGCTGTATTTTAGTTTCTTCACTCCATTATTGAATGTATTTAAAATTCCATAGATTATCCATTAAAAACATTCAGATCATTGCAAAAAAATATTACCTTTTTGGATAAATTCTCTCTCAATACTTCAATGAAATACGGGAAAAAATTGTTAGAGAAACATTTTATTTCTTAAAATATATCCGCATGTATATTTATTTGCAAATGTATTTCCTATCATGGCAATACAAGCTTAAGATATTAATATATTTTTTAAACTGAAAAATAATTCCTTCGTATTAAAGAGTTTTAGTCTAAATATCGTTTTAAAAAAAAATTTGATAACCCTGCAGTTCCTAATTATAATTTTTTTTTCTTTCAGAAACCTTATTCATTTGGATACAACACGGATGATGGCTATGGTAACTCACAAAATCGTTACGAGTCTTCTGATCCTTACGATGGATCTGTAAAAGGATCATATGGTTACTGGAATGCCGATGGCGTCTATCGTACTGTCTATTATGTTGCCGATAACGCAGGGTTTAGAGCGAAAATTAAAACAAATGAGCCTGGTACTGCTAATCAGAATCCAGCCAGCGTAGAAATAACAGCATTGGACCCACCNAGTCTAAATATCATTTTAAAAAATTTTTTGATAACCTTGCAGTTCTTAATTATAATTTTTATTTTTTTTTTCAGAAACCTTATTCATTTGGATACAACACGGATGATGGCTATGGTAACTCTCAAAATCGTTACGAGTCTTCTGATCCTTACGATGGATCTGTAAAAGGATCATATGGTTACTGGAATGCCGATGGCGTCTATCGTACTGTCTATTATGTTGCCGATAACGCAGGGTTTAGAGCGAAAATTAAAACAAATGAGCCTGGTACTGCTAATCAGAATCCAGCCAGCGTAGAAATAACAGCATTGGACCCACCTCCTTACAAGCCTCCTCCGAAAACTTATCCTGCTTATCCACCTCCTGCATATTCGCCTTCATATCCATCTTATCCCTCACCTCCTCAGTATAAGTATCCAGAACCGACAAAAACTTCTTATTCTTATAGTTACCCACCCAGCTACCCTAAATATTCTAGTCCTTATCCCCAACCAAAATATCCACCACCAGCTTATCCTCAATCAAAATATCCACCACCAGCTTATCCAAAACCAAAGTATCCAGCGTATCCTCAGCCGAAGTATCCAGCTTATCCTCAGCCAAAGTATCCAGCATATCCTCAACCAAAGTATCCATCTTATCCTCAACCAAAGTATCCAGCCTATCCTCAACCAAAGTACCCACCTCCAACCTACCCAGAGCCAAAATACCCTGCACCAGCGTATTATCCACAACCTGATTACCCTTCACCTCCCCCTTATTCTCCACCTAAATATCCTGCTCCAAAATATCCTCAACCTAAGTATCCTAGCTATCCACCTCCTGCCCCGAAATATCCTTCGCCTCCAAAACCAGATAAACCTAGCTATCCTCCACCTCCAAAATACCCACCCCCTGCTACTTATCCCGATCATCCAAAAAGTTACAACCCAAAATACCCAGAACCAAGTTATCCTCCCCCTCCACCAAAAAGCTACAAGCCAAAATACCCAGAGCCAAGTTATCCTCCCCCTCCACCAAAAAGCTACAAGCCAAAATACCCAGAACCAAGTTATCCTCCCCCTCCACCAAAAAGCTACAAGCCAAAGTACACTCCAAGCTATCCACCACCTGCACCGAAGTATCCTGCACCACCAAAGTATCCCACCTACACTCCTTCACCAGGATATAAATATCCTTTACCTCCACCAACAGAAGCACCTCCTGCAGAAGAAAAACCTGTTGATCCACCTATTGAGGATCCACCCACAGACGATGCAGAAACAGTTACTGAAGCCGCCCCAGAAGAGCCCAGTGGCGAACAAGTTACTGAAGTAGAAGGTCCAGAACAACAACAACCAGTTAGGTCTGAACGTCTGCAAAGACAAAGGCCGGCTTTTGGTAAAAGATTAAGACCCTCCGTGAATAGATTTTCAGCTCCAAGTCCTCCACTTGAAAGGTTAGAAGTGGAATCAGTTGAGATACCTGATGAAATATGGGATTTGAGGCAATAATTATGCTATATGTTTAGAAAATCTAGATTTTATCACACACTGAGACGTTCAACATATCGGATGTTATGTTATTATGACGGGTTTTGTCATCAATATCTTGATTTGCATTATATGCAAGTTTTGCACAAATTTTGTACTGGTCAAGCATTCGAAAGCTTTTTAATGCAGAGTTTTATAAATAATGTACTATATATTTCATGATTCATTTTTTATGGGTGATAGATTTAATCTGTATCATTTTCATCAACTTAACCTCGGTACCAATTTTTATATGTGATTATATTGTATATATTTTTAAATGTGAAGGGTGTGTAACTTGATTGGTTGAATAAATATATTTATGCATTGCAACAAAAAAGTTTTGTCGTGAGTTTTATGATGTTTCACTAACAGATTTTAGAAATAGTGCTTATATTAACTAAAACAAAAAGCAACATGAATAAAGTACAGAAATGGACATATAGTTTCAGTTCTATGAATTGGCACTTTCTTCAATGTCTCAACACCAGATGACAGTAGAAGAGAAAAGAGACAAACGTGTGCAAACTTACTTAAATAGTAGGGTCAAAGGAAAAAGTTTGAACAAGATAATAAAATAAAGGCTTCAATAACGAGGCATGAGGAAGTTTAGAGGAAGTGCAAATTATTGGATTAGAATAATAGAAATAATAGTATTATTATTATAATTATTAATAATAATAGTATAATATTTTTAAAAAACAATATAATAATAATAATATAATATTAAAAAGATAATATAATAATATTAGTACAATATTTTTAATAATAATAATAAAAATATTAATGCGAAAAAATTATCCTGAACTAAATTATTAAAAGCTTTCAAAATATGCAATGATTCCCGAAAATCGAGCTTGGTAGATGAAAAGCATTTTTGAATGATTATACGAGAATAAATTTCAAATCTAGGATTAGAATTCCAACTATGAAGGACGTTTAATATCTTGATTTTGGGACATATCTTTCATGTTCCTTTAGACGAAATTTAAAAATGCGTTTAGTTTGTCCAATATACGTTTGACCACTCTGACAAAAAGTTTGATTTCTAAGAATCGTTCAATATTTCTCAAGTTTGTTCTCCTTTCTCTACTGACCTAACTGAGGAGTTTTTAAATAGTTTGAAAAGTTTTTAAATACTGCGTTTTAAAGTGCACTGCGTTTTAAAGACAAAAGAATTATTTATTCAACAAAACAGTATAGTTTAAAAATAAAGTTTTGCTTCGATTTTAAGAAACTAAAATTGTAGTTTTTGGTGAAAGGATTCCTGAGAACACCCCTTTAAACATACATAATTATTTACGAATATTTAAATGGCGTTAAAAAATTACCTATTCAATCCTTTTAACAAATTTTAAACATAATAATAATAATATATTTTTTACATACGTCCTATTATAAGTATCCTTAAATTCATTGTCCCGTTACAATTAAAAATTATACTTTTTTGAAATACTTATTTTTATATTGCATTTGCAATACTTAAATTTAAAAAAAGTACTTCTTTATGACGTCACTATAGTGAACTGAAATTTATAATGACTCAAACCATTATTTGAAAACTGGTAAAAAGCTCAAAATTATATTTTTTTAAAAACTGAAATATGTAAAGCTCTCTGGAGCTATAATTTTTTTTATATTTTAGAAATAACTCAGAAACTTTCAGCTCAGAACAATAAACGGCATTATAATCTATGTTCATTATTTTTAATACAGATGTGCTAATATAAGCTTTCAAGTTAAACGTGGCTTACAATTTCTTAGTGCAAAATTATTTTTTAAAGAAATGTATATGTGTCATTTCATAAAATAACAATAAAATTAAAACAAATTGTAAACAAGTATGATTTGCAATGTCAGGTTCTCATACTCGTTATCTGTTTTCAATCTTAAATATCAATTTCAAATTGTATAAGAGACATTCAGATTCTTTGTTGAATAACAAATTTTTCAAAGCAAATTACCCGGAAATTTTTAGAAATTTGAATGCTATTTTATTTCTCAACTGTTCTAGCTGTTGAACCCAGAGCTTCTCGAATAAAAAGAAACTCAATATTTATCTGTGGTACCAGTTCTTGAGAATAAATACTAAACATATTACTATTTTATATTCATTTTTTTTAAAAAGTGATGCCAAACTATATATGTCACTCTTTAGCCTTGTTATGGATTTTTCTGAGCTGGCACTTAACATGCAGCTTGATTTTTTTTTATCAATCAAGGGAGCTTGAGTCGCGGTGACTCAGAGGATTGAGGATTCGCATTCCAATGAGGAAAACCGGGATCCTCACATTAATTTAAAGTAAAAAATACAAAATGGAGTATGAATAATATTTGTATCATGAGAAACGGTGGCTCTGGGAAAAGATGAAGAAAAGATTATTATGTTTTTGTCGTGTTAACGATTCAGTTCTTCTAAATGCACTCTGATGAACGCAGGAAAGACAAAAAAAAGTAAAATGAATTTTATGCTGCTTCATACTAAACTATTGTCACTGTTTTACATGATAAAATGAGTATCCAATTCAATTTTATGTTTTTTAAAATGAGGATCACTTACGGATGGAAAAAAAACGTGGGGAAAATTCTAGTTTACTAAAATCTGAAGTTCACTGTAACTGCAACCGTGATTGCTCCATTGTTATAATTCATCATGATACCGAGTATATATATACCTTCAAGTCATACTATCTGAAATTTAATTTAAAATGGTTAAGATTATAGGCCTTTAGCCATTTGCATATGGAAGTTTTTATAACCAAAGATATAACCAATCCTATAAAAGCATTGAAATAACTAAATTTCAAGTGCATAACTTTAAAATGAGAATGAGAAAAAATAAGTTCTTAGAAACTAAATCAGCTAATATATGACTCACAGCTATGAGCTTTTGTATGAAAATTTACGATTTGCAACAAAAAATTACTATCTTTAGTAGAAGTTAATCAGGTCAATAGAGTATTATTTTTAAATGTATTGCGCAAAAACAATCACGAAATCTTACAAATGACAATACAAAAACGTCTTAATAAGCTTAGTATATTTGTCGTATCAATTTTCTCTGTATAACATCTTGAAGATTGCTATGAAAAATATATCAAATATTATTTTTGATAAAATATAATAAAGAAAATTAATAATGGGCAATAAAAATATATAGCAGCAATTTAGTTGGTAATAAAAACACAATTGAGGAAACAATAAAATCTAGCATTTTGTAGCCTAGAAAATTTAATAACCATTATTTCAATTTCTCTTTTACATCTGCTAGGTTATTGATATGATTTTTCATCTTAAGTTTTGAGATCTAAACTTTCGAGGAACTTAATTTATTCTTTTTATTTCTTAGTGTTGAAGAAGCAAATAAAAAGCATTTTAAGATAAACATTTGTTTAAGCATTCGAATTTTTATGCGTTAGATGTCACAAACTTATACAGTAAGAAAGAAATATAAACTTAATCGAAACTGGCGAATCTCTATGAAGGAAAACAGGAAAAATATCAGAATCAACTTGATTCCCTGATGAAAGTTTTAGATGTTTTCTTATTATTACCTTTTACTTCCTCTTAGTTTCCTCTGGCAATTAAGCATTTTCGCCGTTCTCGTTCATGATTCGTCTAGCTTTGAATGCTTTTTTTTAAATAAATTTATGGCTTTCAGTACGTATATTTATTGCAAATTTATTTTTTCTTCGGAGGTTAAACATTTTCGTCATATTTTCAATTATTCATCAATTTTTGATTACTTTTTTTAAAATTAATTAAAAACTTTTAGTATGCATATTTAATTTATATATATTTCATCTCTTTTTAACAAGAGTACTTAAAATATGTACTGAATGCGATAAATCCAGAAAATCTTTAAAAAATATTGTTGTAATAAAAATTTCAAACTCTAATTTTATTTTCAAAGTCATCAAATTTATGTTTGCATGATGTCAGGCATGTTTTGAGCCAAAAGCTAAGCACTAAGTCTAAATTTATTATTTTTCTCGCGTTTTAAGTAAAAATGTTTAGAACGTTTCATTAAAAAATAAATATTGAACAATAAATATAGTTCTATCAATGTATATCTGAAATTTTTTAAAAGATTTCAGTTCCCAGGTAATCAACCATATAATTAATCTAGAAAAAATATTATTTTGATATCCATGCAATGCAATCACTGTAAAAAAAATTTGTTGTTTGGTTGCCATCGTTTTTGGTGTTGAGAAAAACTGGTCACGTTTTTATATTTACCTTTTCACTGTTATAGTTTTGTTTATTTATTAATCCATTTTATGCTTGTTTATTTACTGACAACAAGCATTTTCATGCGTATTAGAATCAATTTATGGCTTCATTGAGAAAAAATTTTGTTGAAAAAAACAATAACTTTTTCGTAACATATTTACATTTAATCTTTCAAATAATTGTCATTCTATTAATTTTATATACTTTTTTACACAATAACCACAATTTTGTACTTAAAAATGTATTTAGTTTACCTCCATACCAAAAATTGCGGGCCAAGCTTTTTTACAGTGATTCATAGCAGAACTCTGCGCGTGGCATGAACAATTTAGTCTTTACAATTACAATTCAGTTGACAAGTTTTTTTTACTCTCAAATTTGCCGTTATTTTTAAAAACAAAAAAGAAATTTTTGAAGATTAAAAGTTTGTTTTAGTTTTAAAATTTTAGATCCCTGCTTACCGAAAATGAAATTAAGATTTAATAAAGGTTATTTTCGACAAAAAAAATTCCGCTGAATCTTACGTAACCAAAAATTAACTAAGAATTTAAAAAGTGTTTGCGGAGGAAATTGCAATGTTAACTCATTAAAAAAAAGCCTTGTTTAATAAGCCTTGTTAATATTTTTTCCTCTGATTAAAATTTGAATTGGAATCAAAGTATGGAAGCCTTGTTTAATTTCCAATGCAAGCATAAATTCATTATGTTTTATCAGGACAAAATCTCACTTCAGATTTTTTAAAATAATATTTTATTTTGCTTTCTCTGAAAATATATATTACACATATAAACAGAAGAAGAGTCCCTAAAATCACAGTACACTTGTACACCATAAAATAAAAATTGCTTGCATAAAATCACTTATACATCAGTTTTACCATAAAACACTGTACAAACATAAAAAGAACAACAAAAACGAGGGTAAGAATTATTACAAAATGAGAAAAGAGAATAAATAAAGGATGAAGAGTTGAATAAGTGAAAAGCATTCGCCACTGGCATGTTGAATCAGATAATTAAAGTATCTCATGACTTAACTCTAAGTAATAAGAACCAAAATTTAAAAAAAAAAGTTTCAATGCGTTTTATATCACTAAAAATCAAATAAAAGAATATTGGAAAACTAAGCCCAAGCCGAGAAACATTATATACACCAAAACCAAATAGAAAACTTGGCACATGTTACAGATGCATAGCTTAGAAACAGTTACATTTAAAGATACAGTTACTTTTGTATTGCGGTTACGTTTTTGTTACAGTTAAAATATTTTTTTACCTAATCCTTTGGAGGAAACAAATTATAGGTTTCGAAATTTAAATGCATAAAACATTCCTTTTAAATTTAAGTCATGTTTTAGCTTTTTATAAAATTACTTTTCGATGTCTTTTATTAAATAGAAAACGCTTTGAAAATCCAAAATAGCCATCACATAGTGATAAAAAAAACGTAAAATATCTCATACATACTAGATAACAATTGCAACTACAAGTGATCTTAAAAAAAAGTTAAGATCACCGTAGACAATATTATTGTACAAAACCATGCATCACAATCGAGGTTTGAAAACAAAACTTAGTCCTTCACTTCATTTAATAGACATCATCATACTTGCGGTAATGTGGTTTGTATCCGTAAGCTGGGATCTTGTATACTTTTGGTGAGCTTGGAGCATAGACTGGTGTTTTGTGAGAAACTTTGTAAGCAACTGGAGCTTTGTATGCTACTGGAGCCTTGTATACAACTGGTGCTTTGTAAACTGGTTCAGGAGCTTTGTAGGCAACTGGGGCTTTGTAGGCAACTGGAGCTTTGTAAACAACGGGGGTCTTGTAAACAACTGGGGCAGATCCGTAGCTATCGTAATGAGCGGGAGCTGTGTAGTGAACTGGAGCACTGTAAGCTGGAGCATGGTGAACAACTGGCGATTCAACTGCGTTGACATCAACATCAGCTGGGTTTTGGTTGGCGGTTCCTGGTTCGTTTGTCTTGATCCATGCTCTGAAACCGTGTTTATCAGCAACGTATTCTACGGTTCTGTATATACCATGGGCATCAGTGTATCCGTATGATCCCTTTTTAGCTCCGCTAGCATCGCTGTCTTCTTGACGGAATTGTTTGTTGCCATAAGCATCTTTGGTTTCATAGCCAAAACTGTAGGGTTGGGGTTTTTCCTGTAAGCAAAACAAATGCATCAATAAAGTTCAGTGTAATTAGACGTGATTAATTGAGCACATAGTACCATAATATCAATATTTTTAACTTCAATAATATGTAAGTCAATGAAACATTAATAACTTGCTTGAAAGTACTACATTCCTGCTTAAGTTGAACCCTAAAATAGGGGAATCCAGTTTAAAAGAAAACTCTTCCATATCGTAGAATATTGAGCCATATTCTGCTATAACATGGCCCAATATGGTACCATAATAAAGTTGTACCAAATTTGAAAGGAAATTTGGGGCAATATGCTCCTTAAGTTTTAACAGTGTTGTACACTTCCTATCAAAGTTTTTCGCGAGTTTTTGAAAATATATTGCTAAAGACATTTTGAAATTCTGTAATGAAAATTTGGTTCGAAATAATAACTTAGAAATATCCCAATATGCTGAACTAAATACAAATTTCCATGGAAAAAGGATAAAGCATATTGTAGATACAACTATGAAGGAAGTTTTAAAACAATATAAAGAGAGAACTATCATTGATGAAACATTAAACCAAAATATTATCTTAATTTAATGAATTCAAATTTATGAAGAATTCAAATTTATTATAAATTTTTAAACATTTTTGTATACAGTTTTAAAACGATTTTTCATAGATTAAAGAAGGTTTCATTTTAGCTACAAAAAGAAAAGAAAGGTATATTTACAGTACTATATGATAATGACATGTCTGGTAAAATAAAAGCATAATCCTGGTTAATAAAACCAAAATGTATGGTATTTGAACCATTTATTTGGTAATTTGGTAATTTTTATATGGTAAATGTTTTCCGGAAATCCTGGTTTTTATTATTCTAGTTTTTATTACCACACATTTAGTAGAAAATGCAAAACTGAAGAAAAATTTAACGGAATAAATGTTTGATCTCCTCTGAAGTATCATGATAAAATTACCAAATTTTACCAAATTTCCCAAATTTAGTCACATACTATAAGCCCATATTTTATTGTTAACTTTACCAAATTCAGTGCCAAAGTGCTTCGGTCTTCCCATAGAGCTGGGAAACTGGAAACATTTACCTTATTCTGGTAGTTTTGACCATACTTTTTCTCTCCGCGTAAGCATTTTTCGAATATAATGTCTTTCATAATTAGTTATCATAATTATAGGCACATTATTTTTTAAATCAGATAACACAATGATTTTTTGCGTAATTATAAAATTATTTTATTTCTTTATGAATTGCGTATATTATCTTAATAGATTGAAAAAACTGAGACATAATACATACGTGGACTTCATATACAGGCTCTGGAAGAGAGTAAGATGGTTTGTATCCATAAGATGGAGTATGATGGTCATAACCATATGGGTCAGCTGAAACTAAGGTCAAGCCTAAAACAGCAATGATAACCTAAAAGGAAAGAAAATTATAAATTACAAACTAAAATATTTCAAAAATTAATTAAAACTAAAACTATTTTACAAGTTACATTACTTGGAGTGTTGTTGTTTTTTTAAGTATCTGACAAAAATAGAGTTACAATAAAATTTTGGTTTTATTTTATAAATTTCAATAGAGGGTTGAAATAGAGTAAATAGAGCAAGCGAAACAAATTATGGTGATGTTACCGTACTGCATGGTAAAGATATTTCTGGTTTAAAAAAACTACCCTAATTCGGCAATAAAAACCAAAATATACAGTATTTAAATCATTCATTCTGAAATTTTTTCCATTCATATGGTAACGGTTTACCGACAATTTTAGTTTTCAAAATTATTGTAATTACCACACATTCAGTAAAAAATACAAAGTTGAATAGTAAATTTCAACGAATAAATGGTTTTTATGTCTGGTCTAAGGTTATCATGATAAAATAACAAAATTTTACCATTTTTGAAATTTTTATCATATCTATAAGATCATATTTTATTGTTAATTTTACCAAAATCACTTACCAAAGTGTTTCGGTAAAAATTACTAATGTTTTGGTGCTCCCGTAGAGCCAGAAATGCCGTACATTTCACCATGTTCTTGTACATTCGAATATATTTTATTTTAATTTTCCTTAGCATGTAGTTAAAAATAATAAATTCGCCTTAAAAGATGTTGTAAAAAGTAAAAAAATTAAATTTATGGAAAACTTTGAAAACACTGTAAGGTCACGCTTAATAAATTTAATTTAATTAATCAACCTTCAGTTTTTATTTTTTTTATTTTAACAAACGTGCTAAAATGTAGAGCGTAGCTTATTCTTCAGACAAGCAAATTTTTATTTTTCATTCTTTCAGATAAAAATTATCTTAGATATAATTCTCATTTAATCTGTAAGAAAATAAAAACATTTATTAGTGGAAATCATAAATCAAAAAATGAATTTTATGATTAATTCTTCAACAATCGCGAAATGAGTTCGAAGTAACAAAATAAGGTCACATCAATTTTATCAAAAGTGAAATGATTTAAGTATCACCTACTATAATTGCATCATAAGAAAACGGTACAAAAAGATTTAAGAGTTCATTTAGAGGCCTCGATATTATAGTTAGATGGCAGATAATGCTTTCGGTTCGACCGGAAGTATCCCTCATTAATGCAACAAAGAATAATCGAACAATGGTATAAACTTTCTCACACATTTTAATCGTTCTAAAAAACAAACTCGCCGAACGCAATTTATTGAAAGTCGATGGCTCCAGTAATGAGCAGCAAACAGTAGAATAATTAAAACTTTTCAATTCTTATCAATGGCAACTCTATTTAAGCAGAATACATTTGGCCAGGAAGTTTATGAATCTTCAGTTACAGATGAAGTTACCTGATAACGGTCTCGTTTAAGATCTTGCTCTAATTGCCAGCATCTATTGTTCGGAGACAGTTTCAGGACTCTTTTTTTCACATCTTTTGATATTTAAACTAGGTTTGGGCTCTCTTTATTAATCGTACTTTTTCTAGAAATGAAATTCCAAGTTGCTACAATCTTTATCAATCTTCGATAGATCTTTCTTTGGGAGGATATTGTGAATATCTTTTGAAAGTAAAAAAGCTAAATTCGAAAGTAGTTTTACCTTTCCTGTATTATTTCTCATTGTTCTAAGATCTTCAAGTATGTATTTCATTGTCTCACTGATGCTAATTGCGCCAGAAGCGTGCCACTAATACCCTGCAATCGGTGTTGCGTCACTTAATTGCGCAAGGTTATCGAACTCCACCGAAAGTGCGCAACACGTCACATAGCGTGTAGCTGTTAGTTTTGTAGCCCGTTACAACATGGCGGAAGTATTAAACTTAGAATAAGTGTTCGCGTGTTTAAATTTATGGGGGGTACTTAACGGCTTAGCTTAGTAGGTCGATTCCCTGCATTATTTACATAAATATTTGTGCCTACAATATTGCCGACTGCGTCTAATTTGAATTGTGGGCGGTTGATGATTGCAAAATTAGAGGAGATATGTCTTAATCTTCACATATATATATTTTTTTAATTCGTCTAAGCTGCATGTAGACAAAGAAAACATCCTGAATTATTGTTTTGGAAGTGTGCGCAGTTTCTTGTCTAATTTTTATTTCAATGTATGGGATAATTAATCATAAAAATTTTATGAATGATTTCCTAAGTGTCTAAATGCCTAATGGGACTCAAATCGAATAAAGAAATATTCGTATTTTTTTGTCGGAAATCGATGTTGCTATTATTGTATATGATTTCTGAAGTAACAAAATGTTTTTTTTATTAAAAATTGTTATACAAGATTCAAATAAAATCGAAACATAACTAAATATGAATGCTGAATATGTATTTATTGTCATAAATTATTATTTCAATCAGAATGTATGGCTTCTTAAATAAAAAAAGGTCTTTAAAGACTGAAATCTATTCTATGAGGCTCTAAATAGAATCTAGAAATATGCATTTTTTTTCTTCTTTAAGCCAATGTTATTAAACTTTAAAACTGCTCACTAAAAAGAGGATTTAAATTGTATGCTTCAGTGTTTTATAAAAATAAAATTATTATTACCTTTAATTTCTTATGATCCCATTTCTCTGAAAATATATTTATATATTTTAAACGCTTCAAATCAAATTTATTTAAATTTTTAGAATTATGTTTCACTTTTAAAAAGAAATTCCTCATTTCCTTCCCACTGCTAGTAGTTTCAAATAATAAAAATTTTATGCTTTATTTTTTCTCTCTTTGTATCATCTTATGCAATACATCATCTTATCTATTTATCTTATCCATTGTAAGAATAAATAAAAATTAGATTTTTTTAAGAAATTATAGAAAACTGTGATCTAAAAAATTATTGCAAAATATACCTCTTCCGCGAATATTTTGTACATTTTAAATCAAACATTACGTCACCCAAAATAATGTTTAGAGTCAAAAAATTTTATTTTTTATCTTTTTGTTTCCCATTAATGTGTAAAACTTTAATTTTAAGTGTACAAGCGTCATTGTATTATCAGAAAAACTGATTTCAAAATCTAAATTTTTCACAAAAATTTTGAATCACATGAATCATCCAAAATACTACTAGTTTGGAATCAAAAGTTTTTATTTTATATCTTTTTATATCATATGTATCATCTTAATTTTTAAAACTTTAGGTTTCAAAAGGTACATGTAACGCAAGTATCTGTACCATCGTAAGAATAAATTATACGGTCTTATAACATGACTCCAAACTGGAATTAAAGTAGTTTTAAAGTTTCTATAAAGCTGTTTTCGAGTTCTATTTGGATTACAGAGGACATTACGAGTATCGTTCGCTAAAAAGGGATCGGACATGCTTCATACGGTTGTGTCCAGAAAGTCTGGCAAGCCAATCTTTTCGTGAATATTTTCACTTACCCGAAAATCATCGACCAAATGAGTTCTATGTGAACAAGCGTTGTCGCCAATTAGAAGGATATTATGGCCAATTACACTGTTGAGAAACAAAAATATGACTCTAAACTATTATACCTACACCTCATCATCATCATCATCATCCTGCTGCTACAACTCTTTCTTTAAGAATTGTATCATTCTTTTCAGTTGGTCACTGTTTTTAAGTAACTTCAGGTCTTCTTCAACATGTTCCTTTCATCTAGTTCCAGATCTTTCTCTAAATCCTGCCCCTCCAGATTTACCCCCTAAAAGTCGTCTGACAAACCAGTCAAAATGACTCTCTTAAAAGCAGGGAGAAAGAGAAGTGGGAGACCATTGAACAAGAAGTCTGTCCAGACCATCAAACTTCTAAAAAAAAATTTCTGATATTTCAGTGTATCGTATTCCTAGTTTAAACATTCATGCAGAGAAAACCAGAAATCCACTATTTGTCCTTCATTTTCCAGGAAATCAACCATGATGACAGCCGAGGTTTGATGGTATTTTGTTGAACGTCTGCCCTCCCCACCACGTTTTTGAGAAAGGCACTTGCCTGATTTTAGACTTAAAGGCAACTTCTTAGAAACCTACTTTTGCATCTCAGAGGTGCAATTGACTTTTATTTCATTATAATAAACAACAACGCGCTGCCAAAATGGAGACCATCGGATCAAAAATTTTCTGGAAAATAAACAATTTCTACAAAAACATCGAAACTACCCTACCCTATTTATAATGTGAAATCACGCTGGTGTAAGACTTGTATACCTGTACCTGTAAGATAGAGTCATACCACACATTAACCCCTTTTTTGTTAGATTCGTTGACCACTGTCTCATACCTTCTTACTCCTGTGAGAGCTACCCAATCTTATGAGTGTATATTGCGACTGTTCAGTAGAGCTATTTTTATTGTATCAACTTAAGTTAATACGAAATTTCACTAAAATCTGACAGTAGTTCTGGGTTAAAGTGTCTGAACATTCCAGAGCAAATTAAATATATCGATATAAAAATAATTTATAAATCTTTTTCTTTATAAAGATTTCTTTTATTCACATTACAGATCATATATGTTTTTGATCCTGTTGATGATAATCTATTTATATATGACATAAAATGGAAAATCTTCTTGCTTCGTGAAAGCATCTTTCACGCGAATAGGATGAAAATGTTTTTCAGAGTTATCTTCTTTAACAATTATATAGTACTTAAAAAATTTAGTTAGATCATGAATATTTAATTTCTTTTGTATATATTTTAAAATTTTATTTTCTTAAAAACTCAGCAACGAAATTTATTAATTATTAACAAAAAATCACCAGAATATTAATTTTTCTACATTCGCGAAAAATTCCTTACAAATATAGACTGAAAATTATATAACATATAGCTATAGTGTATGCTTCACTGATAGAATAGTTTTTTAATTTGAAATTCGCAAATTTTAAAAGAAAATTCCCTTAAAACATAGCTTTTCAAATTCCGGCGTTCTTTGCAATTTTTTATTTAATTTCATTCAATTTACTGTAATAAAAATCAAACGCGTTCTGCATAAAGAGTTGATTTTTTGTGGTGTATATAGTTTTTGATTGATAAACCCTGACTTTAAAAACGTTTATTGTCTTTGATATAAAAAACTACATTTTAATGCGTTTTTCGTTTACTAGTTACATTTTAGTAAAAATAAATATTTCTTTAAATAAACCTACTGGCATTTTAAAACATATTAGTAGTATATTTTCTGCTACATTTTAAAACTTTTTATTAGCTCATTAAAATTGAAGAATGTTCTCACCCGTATTACCGTAACAGATAACGTAAAAGCCATAAATTCATTTAATTTTGTTAATTTTAATACCTATTTAATACATAGGAGTTTGAAACATGCAAGTAAAATCAAAAGTAAATAAACATATACGCCTTTAATTTTTATGCACCCAGTTAATTTACTTGTTAAGCCTCTCTTAAAATAATCCTGGTAATGTTCTTTCATAATAATCTTAAATTTTGTACAACATATAATTTTAAATTTATATGAATAGTCTTTAAGATAGCATTTTCAAATGTATTACTTCACATAATATTTTACTCGATATGCTTTAACAAATGTTGGGTTGAATAGTAAAACACATAAAACTTATTACTGTTCTTTTACTAGGATTATTTTTTCACTTTTAAATGAAAGAAATGTTGCTACACCAATTTCTTAAATTTTTCCACAAATATTCTTTTTTAATTATCTGAAACAACAAATATTTTTCCTGCATATAAGTAATAAAGAAAAACAAAACGAGGTGTGCATTTTTTGAAACTGTTTGATCTTTCAATTATAATAAAGCAGATATCGAAAAATTCCTTCGAAAGTTCCATTGCTCACTTGATTTTTACATTAAAAAAACAGCTTATTAGATATTTTGCCTCTTTTTGAAATAAGAGTTATATTTGTTTTACTTATCCAATTGTAAATTTATTTCAATTAAAATTCCATTAAAAGTTCCATTGTTCACTTAATTTTAACTCTAAAAAACTATTTATTTGATATTTTGCCTCTCTTTTAGCTACGAGTTATATTTGTTTTACTTCATCTATTGTAAATTTAATTTAATTAAAACTATACTTCACTTAATTTAATATTGCTACTTATTGCAATATTCATCAAATTTGTGAAATATTCAACAATGCATTATAATTATTATATGTTGGTCTAAATAATAAAACGTTTAGTTTTATCATTTATACCAGCATTATAAGTTAGACTATTTTGATCAAAAATATGAAACATTCAGCTAGGCTTTTTGGTTAGGACGGTGTAGCAATGGGTATCGCGATTTTGAAATATTCAGCCAGGAATTTTGATTAAGCTTCTGTTGCAATGTTGATCAAAATTGTAAAACGTATATAGTCTAAATATGTATATTGATCTAAATTGTAAACATTGTATAGGCTAGGCATTTAAATTAGACTATCAAAGCATTTTTGATCAAATATATTAAACATTCAGAGAGGCTTTTTGGTTAGGCTATTGTAGCAATGTTGATCGCAACTTTGAAGCATTTAGAGACGCATTTTTATTCTGTTTTTTTAGAAACATTTATCGAGAAACAAAAGTGTTGTTAATAATCCATACAGATTAATTCAACATACAATCTTATGGCCTATGCCTTATAACATAACTTTGTGAAATGAAATTAAGCTTATTAAATACTACATACGAATATTTTATACAATATCATGCAAATATGGAGAAAAAAATTAAATTATTCAAAATGGTTCAAATTAAAAGTAATTATTTTCCTTATCTCTCTGTTATCTTGTTAAATTTCTTTCTTTTTTTTAATTTTTTAGTTCAAAGCTTTTTTTTTTGCTTATTATGTTTTGAGATTTTTAAATTGATGCGATAAGATCACCAGGATCAGCTCATATATTTCTCTCTGAAAAAAAATGCTTAAGTTAACAACAAATTTCTATTTTCTTAAAAATTTACAGTAGATATTAGCACGAAGGAGTATAAAGGTTGTCATTTTAATACTTAGATCAATGAAATTACTTTTATTGTACAAAAGAGTAAAGACAAATCCTCATTTATTTTTTATTCTTTTTAATTGAAGCGCAATGTTAAAAATAGTTAAGATGATGTTATGAAAAAAATGGCGTTAAAATAGGGTAATAAGCTTTATGTTAAACAAAAACGATTATTTTGTAACTAAGCTTTTAATGCTAACCTGCTCACATTGATTATTAAGCGGTATTTTAACAGATTATCCAACTCCAATAAAGCATCTATACTATAAAAAAATTTTAGACTGAAAAAGTTTCAAACTTTTACAGAAGCTAAGTTTCTTCTTTTTTTATATACATAATCCATTCATAGATATATTTCATCTTCATTTGATTCATTATTTTAAATTCTTACACTTCAGTTTTGCTTTTAGATGTTATGAAGGTAAATTACTGCAACCAGTAGTTACTCCTTTAAAATAGTAACTATTTTTAGCAAAAATAAAAAACTACTGCCCAAATCAATATTAATAAAATAGTTAAATTAAACGAAAGCAAATGTGCCAATTATTTTGTAGAATTCTTTTTTCATTACTCAAAGTTTTGCACGTCATATTGTGCAAGTTTTGCACGTCATAAATTGGAAAGATTGGAATAAATTAACTAATGGAAACAAGACAGTATGAATTAAAACAGATTTTTTTTCCAAATGTAAATTTCCAGTTTGTTGTGAAGAATGGGTAAATTTTTTGTTTAAAAAAATTTTCACATTATTTAAACACATCTCAGAGCAAAATATTTTCTAAATAAATATTTTCTTTTTTCTTTATTATTGCTTATTTACGAATTTGTTTTTCTAAGTTTAACACAACCTACCTTAAAATTCACGTAAAAATTTCGTAACAACAAATTGCATAAATTAAAATTGCTTGGCTGCTTTTTGTGTGCTCTTTGGAATAAAATAGAACAAATGCATTATGAAATCGTTAGTTAAAAGCACTGAAAAACTTATTTCTGTAGAATTTAAATGTATTTAACAAGTAGAGAATAAGAACATAGGATTTATGAATAATTTGGGTGGTACTATTTTGCAATATTTCATGCACAATGTGTATAGTTAAATTAAAATTATAGAAAATTCACATCAAAAAAACATTTTTATAAATTAGTTACTTTTCTTCGACAGTTTAAATACATAACCTTTCTTTATCAAAAACAATTTATTAGTAATAGAAAAACTTGGTATATTTTTCTCAAACATTACTTAAAATTAATGAATCAAATAACATTTGTTCATCTTCCTACGGTATGACTTAAAAGGCGCTTTAAAATAAATCTCCTTTACATAATGTTGTAATATGCTCTTGCTATGGATTTGTACAAGTATTACTTAGCGTTCATTGCTAAAACATTCCAGAATTTAAAAAAACATAAAAATCATGAAATATTTATGAAATTTAATTAGTTTTTAAAATACAATTGTAAAATAGAAAGTACAAATATTAATACATTTACTTTAGTGTTTACTTGAATGCTCATAAGGTTTTAATAAAAAATACCGTGGCACGTTTTTCAATTTTTACAACACTTTGTCCACCATGTTTGTTTACCAAAAGTTTATTACTCATTGAATTAAACTACAAAATTAAGTTCGTCGTAGCACACCTTGCCTCAAAGTAGTTTTAAGAATTATAAAATACAAAATCAATAAAAATTAAAAAAAATTTAAAAAAAACATTGTTTTTAAATAAAAGAGGAAAACATGGGAAAACAATAAAAACGCATTGCTAAAGATTTTAACTCATAACTTAAAAACTCACTATTATTTTTAAATACTTAAAATAATTTCAGTGATGGTTTTCCCTCACTTCGTTCCTTCGTAAGTTTTTACAGCCTAATTCTAAATTATTGACCATACATCATTTTATGTGAGTTTTAATATTATTTTAAAAACTTCACGCCGTAGATATTACCAAAAATGATTACTAAGAAGAGCAAGAATACTAAGACCGAGCATTAAAACTACTATTTCAAAATGACTTACAAATTAAAAACACACTGCAAATTTGAGATTCTTTTTATGAGAAGGTAAAATTATTTTGATATAAAATTTTCCTTCAAAAACCTTTTTCAATATTTGTCACTTCAAATTTTGCTGATTTTGAATACTTAAATTTAAAACTTTAGAACCTAGTTAATTTCTATTATTTAATTTTTTGTTTTCGAAGTACTTTAATTTCAAAAATTTAAAATTTTAATACTTTTCAGCTTTTCAAACTAATACTTTTAAATACTTAAAATTTAGTATCAAGACGCTGTGATTCTTTTAAAACATTTTTACCCTAAACTATAATTCGTTTTCACTAAATATTTACAAACAAGTTAAGGTTTTGTAAAATTAACTCCTCACGGTAGTTAAAAAAAATTCAATTCACCTACTATAATAACAGTTCTTATTCCAATATGTTAAAAAAATCGTTTCCATTTCATAGTAATCGAAAAAATAACCCTACTTATTGATAAATTCCCAAATTCTTTAACGTCTTTTTTATTATTAAAAAAAAATTACTATAACAGCTTTATGAATAAAGTCCGTTTTCATCACATTACTCTCAAACCACAAGGTGTTCAAAATCCGATAATCCGATAATAATCCAGTTAGAAATATCCATTGGTAATATCAACTCACCTGGTGAAGCATGGTTTTCAGTAAAGTATTGCAGGAAAGCACACTTAAGAATTAGAATTGTTGTTACTCCAAACGAGGCACAATACGTTTTGTTTTGATTCGAATGAACCGCCGAGGTATTATATACGCTGGACATTCGGAGTGCCCCAGATAGTGTAAATCACAGCACATGTCCCAAATTAGGACTCCAAAGAAAGTGCAAGTCTGTCTGTCCATTGTGGGTGGGTTAGAGTTCAATCTTGCCCGCCGGCCATCATTGCGCCCCACCCTTTAGGCGGCCTTTGTGTATCTTAGATCGGTTGCTTTTTGTTTTTCTTATTCATTTAGCGAGAAACGTGATTTTCGGAATTTTTTCTTCGCTTTTTATTTTATATTTCACTAAGGTGTTTGATTTGAATGCCAACTATTAAAAGGGGATTAAATTAATATGAATAAAAAAAAGTATCAATAAATAAATGTAAAATATTTATTTAGAAGTTAAAGTTTTGCTTTTGGTAAACACATTCAGCTTTTTTTTTATTTAAATAAAAATGTTTCTGCTCATTCTTTAAAAAGTAACTGAATAAAAATTAACTTATTTCTCTTTGACATTTTTTTAAAATTTTTCTATTAAGTTTACTAACTTCCCAGAAATATTTGTATTTAAATAAAAAAGTATCAAAGAGAAATAAGTTAATTTTTATTCAGTTGCGTTTTAAAGAATGAGCAATAGTAATAATTATAAATAAATCCTCCTATATATATATATATAGATGATTAGATTAGAAAATTTTCCTTCGAAAATGTTTTTCAATATTTATCACTTAAAATTTTAATGAATATTAATTAATGAATATCGAATATTAAATTAATGAATATTGAAAAACATTTTCGAAGGAAAATTTTCTAATCTAATCATAGATTTCTATTATTTAATTTTTTGTTTTCGAAGTACTTTAATTTTCAAAATTTAAAATTTTAATACTTTTTAANGAAACAATTGATGTATGAAATTGATATTGATGACTTATAAAATTTTGCGTGTATTAAAATAGATTTTAAAAAAACTTGGCTTGAATGTTTCTATTAATTATACCAGATTTCTAATCTAAAATTCTAATTCCTTTACAATGTTATCCGCAGTTTAATAAGAAGTCAGTTCTTCTAAAGTTCAGAAAATATAACTAAAGATAGTGCTTAGTTAATTTAGAACGAATATTTAATCATTTATTAGATGTCCTACATCTCAAAAATGGAATTTATGTTAGATTTTGAAGGATTAATTCAAAACAATTCAGCAATTTTGTTTTATTTCAGTTGCGAATTTTTTTTATTTTACCTCAACAAGCAAAAAAAAAGTAAGTAAAGGAAGTACAAACTGAGATAAATAATGATAAGAAAAAAAAAATAAGAAAATTCTGAGCTTAATAAATATATTCAATGAAATTAAAATTTCCATAGAAATAAAGAAAATTGTGTATACTGCTCGTTTCTTAATGAGATGAACCGGGTTTAAATCCCAGTGATGACTGAGATTCAGACAACAGTGTTGGCGAAAAATATCCTCAGTAGTAGATGGATTACGGGTTAGAGTCCCCTTCCCGTGTTCCTTAGCCGTGGGAGATTTTCGAGGTTTTCCTCTCCACGTTACGCAAATGCGGGTTAGGATCATCAAAAAATCCTCCACAAAATCAAATTTCTCCCAATACTTGATACAGTAATTCCCTTGTCTTCAAATTACAAGGCTACGGAGTTGAACATTGCTAATCTTAAACTCAAAATTGTTTCGACTGTTCAAAAATGGTTATAAAATCTTAATGGTTTGAATGTTTCCAGATTTTTATGCATTAATTAATAATTTCTTCATTCAACTTACTTACAAAATCAGACATAAAAATTTAGTTACTAGAAACAAGTCTTTTTCGGCAGGTTCTTGACCATAAAATATTGAGGGTAGCCTGAGCTTGGAAAATTTTAACTTAGCAGTTATTTTTTTAGATCTACCCAAGGGATCGTAATTTCATATTTTGCCTATCACGCCATATAAAGTAAAAAATTTTTAAGATCGCCATTTCGAAATCATTAAGATCGAAGAGCTTTAGCTGCATATAAATAATTTAAATTTAGAAAAGTGAGTTCCTTTTTCATAAAAAAAAAATATTAGTATATTAAATATTAAAGCTTGATTAAAAAAAATTCATAGGTTTCAAAATATGCAGATAGAAGTAAAAGTCGGCATCTTTCAAGCGCTCAAAATTAGGCTCCCATTCTCAAGACTTGACAGATGACTGATAATAGACAAAAGTAATTTGAAATTTAAAAAACAAAGATACCAAAGAAAAAATAAAAATAAAGGTGGGAAACTAAGCTTAAAAAAACCTCAGTAGCAGAGTGTAAAGCAAAAATAAAAGTGAAAAAATCAAAACAAGAAAAATCACTGTAGCCTCAGTGTAAATCATTGATTCATTTGTTAACAACTTTATTTATATCTCATATTTCCATTTTTCGTCAGTAACCTTACGTTTTATATTTCAGATCATTGTTTCTTCGCATTCACGTCAAGTAAGTCTAGACGTCTATTTCTCAGCGCTTGAAGTATGCGAACTTTTCGACTTTTAATTCAATCTGAATATTTTTGAAACCAATGAAGTTTTTTAATCAAGTAATATTTTACCGCTTTGATTTCTTGAGATTCTTTATATAATAAAATCTTAGTATTAAGCAAAAAATACCCTTAGCAAACTGCATCTTAACAATCTTCAAAATGATAAGTAAAAAAAATCTTCATAATTGGTGTTAAAGTGCTGAAATTTTTACTGCCAATTTTCCTCGCAGTAGGAATAGAAGGTGGAAAATTTTCTATCAAAAATTTTTTTTAATAAACTATCAAAGATAATTTTTGATCGGCAATTTATAAAATCATTTGAAGTTATTAAGGTTTTTTTAGCTTAAGTGTCCTTATTTATATTTAATTGTAACCTCTATAATTTTCCCCATTTATCAAAAAGCAGTTATAAATATTTTTATTTGCCTAATTACTTTCCTTTTCTTTATTAAAAATCAATTTACCATACATGGCAGCTCACAACTTTAAGAATTATTTACTAATGAAATTTATACATCGAACTGCTTTAAACAATTCCAAAATTCAAATAGTAAGTTTTTTTCCCCCTATCAACTATTATTCTTAGAAACATGTTAAGTCATTTTTTTCAACTTATCAAGTTTCATTCTATCAGGTCATTTTTTTCACCCTATTCAAATGTTAAATTCTTTTTTCACCCTATCAACTATTATTTAAGGATATAAAAAATAAGAGACAGTCTTGTCTTAAGTGTCCTTATATTCATATTTAATTGTAACCTCTATAACTTTTCCCATTTATCAAAAAGCACTTATAAATATTTTTATTTGCATAATACTTTCCTTTTCTTCATTAAAAATCAATTTACTATATATGGCAGCGTACAACTTCAAGAATTATTTACTTAAAAAATTTATACATCGAACTGCTTTAAACAATTCCAAAATTCAAATGATAAGTTATTTTCATCACCCTATCAAGTTATTTTTTTCACCCTATTCAAATGTTAAATTATTTTTTTCACCCATCAACTATTATTTAAGGATATGAAAAAAATAAGAAACAGTCTTGTCTGTCTTTTATAGTACATATACATTAGACAAATTTGCAACAGAATAAAATATCATAATCGAAATTTAAATGTAGAAATAAAGTGCTATATACATGGCTAATTTCGCAATTGATTAATAGTGCTAACCAAGCAGCACATATGCTATTGAACTTTAGTGTTCGTTTTCATAGTATTATGATCAGATTATACTAAAATAACGAAAAAGAAGAAAAGTTAAGATTATAAAATGAAAACCAGATGAATATTCATTAAAGTTCCGAAACCACGTTTCGCCTCACTAATAAGCACCGAAACTTCGTAATCTGGTTCCACTACTTGCCTCTTCATAATTAAAAGAATGAATGCATGAACGTGGCCTGTAGCATTTGAGAAAGCCAATTTAATCTGAAACAATCAATATTTAAGGATATAAAAAAGAAACAGTCCCGTCTATCTTGTATAGTACATATTTGCTGTGGAATTTCAACTAACTAAGACACTAACTAACTGTAGAAGGTTGACTAACTAACACTCTCAAAAAATTTAGTTCATTTTCAAAACGCTATAATGTGGGACTTTTCAACAATAATGAGTCATTAAACTGAACCATATTTCAGTTTAAGTTAAACCATAATATCAAATACTTTAAGTATGGTTCATATTTTAAGGTTATTGCAAAATTGCATGATTGTTAAATCCAAAGTGTACCGAACTATCAGCATAGTATCAGAGGTGAGTAACTGAGAGAACGATAGAATTAATTGTCGATCATTTTCGTATTTGGTCTCTCAAACATATTTCTTTTTTGTGTTGCATGCTTTCTTCAGCCTAAAGCTCATTCAATTTTTGTTTTTACGCATTTTAAAAAAAATGTTGTGTAAACTGGGATTGAGAAGTGTTGAATTTTACATTGACATATCGTAAAACATCAATATCTTTTTTAAATATCATGGTATTGATATTTTAGAGCATGTGCACTGAGAAAAGAGTAAAGTTCAAAACTACCAAAATGTAGTAAAATTTACCGGGTTTCTGCCTATATAATATCACAAAAAACTCAGTAATTTTTACCAAAGCGCATTGGGGATGATTTTGATATAATTAACATTAAAATACGGTTTAATAGAATCTGATAAAATTTGGTAAATATTATCACCATACCTTAGAGCATAGCATTAATATCATTTAATCCATCAAATGTACTGTACAGTTCTGTATGTTCTACCAAATGTGAGGCAAATAACAACTAAAATTTTGAAAACCAGAATTTCAGGAAAACCGATACCATATGAACGGAAAATTACCAAATGATTCGTTTAAATGCTGTATATATTTTAATTTTATTTACCGTTTCATTTTATTTATGTTTTGTTTCTTTTACCAGAAATGTTATTACCATACAGTATGATAATTTTACCATAATTATTTTCTCCTTGTACAGAATAAATGTAATGCAAAGAAAATAACTAACAATGATAACATGCCAGTAATTACAGATAACGATAAGTATTGCATTTAATAATATCGCCAGCATTCTCGA